GCTGCTGTCGTGGAGTCAAGCTGAATCTCCACTTTTTTGTGCCTGTGTCCCATGCCATCTGGAGTCCCTGAAGTGCGCCCCATAGCTTCGCGCGAGTGATAGTACATCTCCCCAGGTTCATCGAGTAAGCACCTAGCAAGCGACCCTGCCCATCTCTAAGCGTCCCTCCTGCAGTGGTAGACCCTGATGGTCGCAAAAGTGAACCATCAGAGTTCACAGTGATCCATCCTGTTGGGGCCGGTCTCCACCCAACAGCCTCGTCTCGACGTGACCCCGACCTCCCTAGTGTAATAATGCGGTTCGCTGCTTTACTCTTTTCCGCGATGATCTCCTTGGCTAGGATCTTTTGTGCAAGCTTACTAGGTACCTCCTTAATGTCTGAAAAGATGTAATCATTCCGCGAGCGCCATAGGAACCAACATGTGAAACCAAAACGCACCTGTGTCTTTGTACTCAAGAGGAAATGCATAAACCACTCCTTGAATGAGCTGTGCTCGGTGTGGGAGCTAGCGATTCTGGGAGGATACGGTGCCAAACTTCCATGGCGTAAGAACATAGGCGGAAAACATGTTCTGGAAATTCCGCAGCCTTCTTCATTGGTTGGAAGTGCTCCATGCGCCATCAGCCACAGGAAGTGACGAACTCGATTGGGTCCCGGCCACTTCCACACCTTCTTCTAGCCATCATTTGCCTCCTCGCCGTGGATGTTCGCTACAAGTTGGTACGCTGAGTGGAGGGTGAAATGACCCTTGTCCTCAAGCCCCCATACCACTTCCTCTTCTCCATGAGACGACCTAGGTGGCGGCATACCGATGACCTACAAAGTCACATCCATGGGTAAGTAATTAGCAATCAAATTAAAGTTCCACTCACTTGTATCTAGCGTCATATCTGCCACCATAGCTTCTGCCCGGAATCCTTCTTTATTTTTTTCATGCATGCTTCCAAGAATGATGCCCCCATCCGTCTACTTGTCTTTCGAGAACATGGTTGATTTTCCATCACGCACACTCCATCGAATACCTTCCAACATCGTGCCCCAAACTCGCCTAACTCCACGCCACAGGTGGGAGCATCTCGTCCGTCGTCGCAACTCTACCCCTTCCGGCCCTTCTCGGTTCTCACAGGTACTTTTCCTTCAGCACTTGAACCCAAAGTTCGCCCGGATGCTTTAGGATGGTCGAAGCCAGCTTAAGGAAATAGGTCGTATTCAGCTCCCTCGCCGAACGCATGCCTAATCCACCTTGATCCTTTGGAAGACATATTGTCTCCCAATTAACTAGATGGATCCGTCGCCGACCTTGTTGTGACCCCACACGAAAGCTCTTATTTTCCTGTCCAGGTAGTCGTAGACACTCGCTGGAAGCATTGACGTTTGCATTGCATAGGAGGGGACCGCATTCAGAATTGAGGTTGCCAAAGTCACACAACCGGCTAACGATAAGCTATCAGCTACCAACCTGCAAGTTGCTGGTCAATCTTATCCATGATGTACTTGTAGGTTTGCTTACTGATTCGCCCAAGTAGAACCGGGACGCCAAGATATCTACCCAAATCTTGCGTAATGGGGATGCCCAGTCGATCACTAATGTTCTTACTGACTTCCCTTTGCAAATGTTTGGAGAAGAATACCCTTGACTTGTCCCGGCTAACCAACTCCCCCGATGCACCACAAAAGTCCTGGAGGCATTTCATAATCATCTCTGCTTGTCAAATACTAGCTTCTGCAAACATGACTAGATCATCAACAAAGAAAAGGTGGGCCAGTTCCACCCCTCCCTTCACAAGCTTAATGGGTCGCCATGTTTTCTTTTGAACCAAATCCTGAATGAGATGAGACAGGCACTCAATGCACAACGTCAATATGTACGAGGAGAGTGCGTAGCCTTGCCGAAGGCCCCTCATGGGAGTGAAGGGTTCCGTGCAATTACCGCCCTAGAGAACCTTGAACGACGGTAAGGTTACGCAGCTCATCGTTCCCTATAGGAATTTAACTAGTAAGCCAGCCGCAACTAGCGTGGTGGCGATGAAGCTCCAATCCAGCCTATCGTAAGCTTTGGCCAGATCTATCTTGATCACCATATGACCCGTTTTACCCTTTCGCATCTGCATCGAGTGAACCACCGCTTGCAGTATAATGATATTATTTTGGATACTGCGGCACGGAACAAAGCTTGTTTGATACGGCTTCACGAGCTGAGGAATCAGCGGCTTTAAGTGGTTGGCGATATATTTGGTTAAAGCTTTGTAGGACACGTTGCACAGACTTATAGCTCAAAGCTCAGACACGAGAGAGGGGCTTTGTTTCTTGGGTATAAGCACTAGCAGGGTAGCATTCACTTGAGCTATTGTCTCCGGCTGCAGAAAGCATTGGGCAGTGAAGCTCGAGAAAGACTCGCCTACTGTTTCCCAGCATCTCTGAAAGAAGAGGGGTTGGTATCCATCTTTTCCCGGAGCTTTACTCGGGCCCATCTATTTTATTGCTGCCAGGACTTCCATTGAATGATATCCATCTCTAAGGGGGCCATTCTCGAATCCATTTCGGGAAAATGCACCGGGAGGAGTTCAGGCATAGTCGATCATTCTTTATAGAGATCGACAAAGAAGTTTTGAACTAATTCTTTAAGCTCCTCTTCGTCTTCAACCCATGTACAATCCTCGGACTTCAGTTTGCGAATACGGTTAAAGCAACGCCTCTTAAGTGTAGAGAGGTGAAAAAACCTTGTATTACAGTCTCCCTCTCTAAACCACTGCGATCGAGACTTTTGGTACCAAAGTAGCTCCTCCTGTTTGAGGACTTCATGAAGCTGAACTCGAGTTAATTCCACCTCTTTGATGCGTTGGGTTGTTGGTGATCTCTCATTGCGTATCTCGAGCCGTTGTAACTTCTCCAGCAGCTTACGTTTCTTGTACAAGATGTTGCCAAAAGTATTTCGGTTCCATTCTTCCAGTTCCACTCTAAGGCTCTCTAGGAAATCTCCATAATCTCGACCTTTCTACCATCCACTTTCTAGAACACGAGGAAAGTTCGAATGAAGTAGCCAAGGGGCTAGGAAACGGAAGGGTTTCCTCCCTTTTGGATGTTGCTTATGCCAATCAGACATTGTTAGGATAGCCCTGTGATCCGACTTAACTTTCTGGAGCTGGCAAGTAATTGTATCGGGGTAGCTCAGTAGCCAGCCTGTGTTGCAGATAGCACGATCGAGGCGTTCCTTGGGACCGCGATGGCCATACCACGTAAACTGCGGCCCAACATACTCGATATCCGGTAGACAACAATCTTCCACCGCTGAATGAAACTCCCTACTCTGGTGCCATATTAAAGTCTGCACCACCTTGCTTGTCGTTTGGGCTAAGCATGGTGTTGAAGTCTCAAATGAGGAGCCAAGGCATATCAACATGACCCGCCAACCTCCGCATGGTCTCCCACAGCTCACGTTTAGGGCTAGTTGAGGAGAGCAGTATACACAAAAAATGAGACACTCCTCCCTCGAGCTAAGCCGGAGATGAAGGTGAAGAAGCTGGTCTATAGCAAACTCGTCACACAAAGTCATGTCACACTCGCCCAGCGTTAAACCTTAACGATAAATACGAATAAATTAGGTTGTGTTTGGTTGGAGGGGTGAGATGATTCGGGGAACGGATCAGGTTAGTAACCCTATTGTCAGTAACCATGAGTAACCCGTTCACATCAGCATGACATCGGTATCCCTCTTTCTCCTGGTAAGTCTTAATCTTTTCCCCTTTAATATTTAACGGACGATTTCTCTCTCGTTTTAAGTCGAAATTTAATTTTTTTTGCACAGATAAATCAAATTAAATGTGCTCTTTAAAATGATATCCACTTTGATATATTTTTAGTACAAAAAAATTGAATAATTTTTTACCAATCATTACCATATGGTATGCTCCTATTTAATACCATATGGTAAGAAAGAGTACCATGATGGTATGAACATACCAATATGGTAAGAAGGTTGAATACATGATAGTAGGAGTATGTACTAACTGTCATTTACGACTTTCATCATTGTTTACCACAAGTTACCACCCACATATCATAGTGGTAAAGTATGGTAATTTTTTGTCCAGTAATTTTTCACCTAGAAATTTATAGATCCAATGGATCATGCTGAACTCTTTTCTTCTGAGCAAACGTTTTAAAAAACGACTTAAAAATGAGGAAGAGATCATATGGTATGTAGTTGGTAAAAAAAAAGTTTCTCGAAATATATTGAAAATTGATCTCATTTTGTAGAGCACAACGAACTCGTTCCATCTGTGCAAACAAAATTGAAATCCGAGTTAGAACGAAGAAGATAAGAGCCAATTAAAAAAACTAAGGAAAATAATATGTTTTTAATTAACAACCTTTATATTTGAATTTTCTAGATCCACTTAGATCTAAATGTCCAGATTTAGTTACTCATAGATCAGACCAATGGTTACTGAACCTATCCTAAGCCCGATATTTTTTTTTCTTTTGGGTTAATAGCATTTTATGCCCCTCTACTATTACAAATTAACAAACATGCCCCTTTACTATTATTTTGCACAAATGTACCCCTCTATTATTGCAGCGTAACAAACATACCCTTTTATCAATAATTCCGTTAGTTGGCTGTTAAAGGGCACACAAAATGACTATATTGCCCCTTTAAACTAAATTATTATATATACAGTGATTTGCAACAGAAGAAAAACATAAATAAATTAATAATCATTGTTCTAATTATCCCTTCCCCACTCTCACTCTCCGTCCCTTCAATTTCCCAAACAATACAAACGCATCAAGAACAGCTCAATGGCGCTTGCTCTTCATCGACAAGAAGCTTCAATCAATCTCAACATATGATGTTGATTCTCTATTGGAATGTAAGTTAAGCCGCCGGGGGAGCGGATAGTATAACAACACTAAGATACTAACAACAAGATTCATTAAGGGTAAAAGGGTAAACTAACACAAAATAACAAATTAAAATTAAAAAATAAAATTTTAATCACAGCCACACGTGCGCCATCTCCCTGTACGGCACGCCGGAGAACTCCCTCTTGAGGTCCGGGGCCAAGTAGGTCTCGATGAAGTCGGCGCTGAAGTAGATCTCCTTGGCGCCCGTGTACGCCACGTGGGAGGCGTTGAATTTGTTGACGAAGAGCTTGACCTGCTGGTACCCTCGCCGGTCGGTGGCGTTGTGCTGGAGGAAGACGTAGTTGAGGACGAAGTCCGCGGCGGATGACAGTTGGGAACGGGCGTAGTTGGCGCAGGTCCGGCAACCCACGTCGCGTCGCTGCCGCCGACTTTTACACGGGGTGGAAACAGGACAACGGAGTGGAATCCGAATTGTCGGGGACAACGGAGGAGATTTCTTCTTCTCCGATTTGCCTTGCATGTTCCTCGTGAGGCCACCGCCGCTCTCTACGCTTTGTCAATCCACCGTGGAATATAGCGTCTTCCGAAAGAAGTTTGTCCATTGCTCTGTCTTTTTCATAAATTTCTCGAGGAAGTTCCAGATTGTGAAGTTGCTTGCCCCGAATTTGATTATAAGCCTTCTTCTTCTGGATCATAACAAGTTATATTGGTTGGCTAAAAGAGGTTCTTGTTGGAGGTCTTGATCGAACAAATTGCAGAGGAAGGAGGAAGAAGGTGGTTTGCAGAGCTGAGGAAGAATGAGAGCTCGTGGATATCATCAATTGGAAAATTACATCATTCAATTACAGATTCGGACTATATAGCAAGGGTAAAATACTAATTGGTACACAAATTAAATAAACATTACAAAGCAATCTAACAACCATATAAAAGTTGCATCAAGGTCCACAAATCTTCACCCTCGGACAACAGTTCTGCAGAAAAAGCACAAACATACATAGTTCAAAAGCACACTATAAACCTCCTAATACAAATCATAAATGTGATAAAATATATCAGAAATCTAACAAAGCAAATAATAAAATTTTCAAAAGCACACCAAAAATACATAATATAAACCACAAACATGACAAAGCAAACCACATAAAACAACCAGATTCTTCCGAATGCAGAACACAAATCTATTAAAACAAACCAGAAACCTCACAAACCAAACCACAGAATTTTCAAAAGCAATCAGAAACCTTCTAATGCAAACCACAAAAGCAAACCAGAAACCTTCTAATGCAAACCACAAATCTATTAAAACAAACCAGAAACCTTGCAATGCAAACCACAAAAGTTTCAAAAGCACACCAGAAACCTTCTAATGCAAACCACAACTGCATTCAAACAAACCAGAAACCTCACAATGCAAACCACAAATTTTTTGAAAGCAAACCAGAAACTTCTTAATGCAAACCACAAACATGATAAAGAAAACCAGAAACTTCTTAAGGGGAACCACAAACACGATAAAGCAAACCACAAAAGGCATACAAAAATATGAGAAACCAAACCATAAATCTCACAATGCAGACCATAACATCCGGTGGTCGTTGGCCGATGACCGTCATTGAGTAGATTTCGGCGCCGATTGGCATATTCCAGCCCCGATGACTAGATTCCGACGCCGGTAAGCATATTCCGACGACAGTGAGCATATTCCGATGGCAATATAGCATATTCCGGTGACCGGCGACCAGATTCCGGCGACCAAATTTTGGACCGAAAATAAAAAATATTTTTTATTATTTATTATTTATTATTATTTAAATATATTTTTTATAATGACAATTATACCCCTGCTTTGATTTTACACTAGGTCAACTCATTTAATAAAAAATCATCACAACTCTAGCTTCCTATTGGTTGGAGACTAGTGTTGTTACAATAACAACACAAATGGTGTTGTCATAGTAACCGTTCCCCTAGTAAAAAGACATATTTATTAATTTGTACTAGTAAAAGATAGTAAAATGCTATTAACTCTTTTTTTTTTACCCCTATCCGTAAGAGGGATAGACGGATATTTCAAATAAAAATATCACGTTTCTCCAGAGTCCAGAATAAGGGAGTTGCTAAAGGTCGCCCTTAAAATTGCTAAACGTCGCCCTAAAAAACATCAAAGTTACAAATTTAACCTTTTAGCTTCTTTACTCTTCCTTTAGCAAACAAACACCACTTAATAAAGAAAATAAAAAATTATTCAAAAGAGAATCCATCATCGTCATTCTGGAGTTGGAATCGTCGATATGATGTCTGGATCATGACTAGCGACTCTGAATCGGTAAAGTTCACTCCAAAAATTGGAAAAAAAAAAACAAAAAAGGGAACCGCAAATGAGTTGCGGTTGGTCCATGGTGCAACCGCAGCTAACTTGCGGTTCCACCATGGGCCAACCGCAGCTCACTTGCGGTTGCACCATGGACCAACCGCAAGTGAGTTGCGGTTCCACCATGGGCCAACCGCAGCTCACTTGCGGTTGCACCATGGACCAACCGTAACTTGCCTTAGGTTGAGCGTTTTTTTGGAAATTTCGTTAGAGAACGGGCGACGACGACGACGACGGGAAAGACGCCGACGAACTGGTGCGTCGAGAGGGATTCGCGAAGAAGGCAGATGAGGGGTTCAGTTTGAAGGGTTAGGGATTGTTTGGTTTGTTTAAATTTTGAAATTTTATTGGGGGTATTTAAGTCATTTATCATTAGAGTTAGGGCGACCGTTAGCAATTTTAAGGGCGACATTTAGCGATTCAGCAGAAGAATATCTTGTCTTGCCCGATACGTGGCGACCGCCCATAAGCCACGAGCAGATAAGAAACGGACGTCGCAAATTCCTCCCACTTCCCAATTATATGTAGCTGATTTCTCGTTACGGCCCCAAAAAGTAAACACGCCATCCCGCAAAGCAAGCACATAAAATCCGATCCAGATCCCCCTTTCAAAGCGAGAGAGAATATAATCAGAAGAAATGGCAGCCATGGCGTCCATCTGGACTGTCCCGGCTAGCTGGAAGGTGATGGGAGAAGCTCCTAGCGCTCAGCCGCAAGCGTTTCTGTCGATGAAGCAGCAGCTGTCCGTGAAGAATGGGAGAGGAGGATTCCGACCGGTGATGGCGGCGCCGGATCAGATCCAGAGCAATGTGGAAGAGAGCATCAAAGGAGCGGAGGAGGCTTGCGCGGAGGATCCGGCCAGCGGGGAGTGCGTGGCGGCGTGGGACGAGGTGGAGGAGCTGAGCGCCGCCGCGAGCCACGCCCGGGACAAGCAGAAGGTATCCGACCCGCTCGAGACCTATTGCAAGGACAACCCGGAGACAGATGAGTGCCGCACCTACGACAACTAACTCAACTAGCTTCAAATTGATTGTTAGAGTTTGCGGGGAAGGCCGGCCACCACTGTATTTCTATATGCAACAAAAAGAATGTCCTCGTGTTACTGGATTGATAATACTGAATGAAGAATCGATTTTAGATGCCTCGTTGAAATCTGGATTCGGTTTTTAACGGTGTTCCTTTCAAAGCTCCAACCTTCTCTACCAACCGTTTCATTGTAAATCGGATAAATTACATGTTTGGTCACTCAAATTATATAAATCTTTCATGTTTGCCACTCAAATTACTTTTCTTTCTTAGTGACCACTAACTTTACAAATCTTTTCACCGTTAGTCACCGGCCGTTAAGTTCCGTCAGACTCCGTTAACACCGTTAAATTTTTGATGACGTGGCAAACAGAATTACTGACTGGGATGACAGAAAGCTGAACTGGAATTATTATTATTATTATTTACAACTAAACCCAACTCACCAATGTCGGCCCTCCTTTCCCCTCGCTGCTTCTCATCCTCCTTCCCCCTCTTTGCTTCTTCTCGACATACTCTCTCTCTTCCCTCTTCTATCAAACCCAGACAGACAGATAAGAACCCCATATCACACTCTCCTCCGCCCTCGATCTCAATTTGTCGGTGCTTTGCTCTCGTCAACGCTGAGAGAACGAAGATGGTAAGTGGTCTATTCCTTCTGAATGCTTGTCGATTTTTAGGGTTTTCGTTTGATTCCGAGTTTAAGGAGTTTTAATTTGATTTTTAGGGGTGGTTATTTTTTGGAAGGTTTCTCTAGATCTGGAAGAAGAAACTGGGGACGACGACAACTACGGATCGATGTTGATTCGTGCAGCGGCCGATGACGATATCGTGGATTCCCGGAGGAGGCTGTAGCAGTGGTCTTAAGAGGAGGCTGTAGCGATTGGTCTTGGAGAGGATGGAGGATCCGTCGGCGACAGGAAAGCTTGGTGGTGCAGCCGGTCACGGAAATAACTCCGACGGTGGAGGCTGCGGCAGTTGAGATTTGGGGGTTTTTGGGAAAAGATGAACGAAATAGAAAGTGGTGTTGGATATGGAAATTTTGTGACGATTTGTGGTGTTGGATTGAAACGGAGATGTATTTGGACGGAGATCAGAGGGAAGAAAGGTAGAGACTCAAGTAACAGGTGGTGGAGCTTTTTTTTTTTAAGGGTGGTGGGTGTCTCTCAAATCGAGAGAGGGGACGAAGGATTGGGAAGGGTAACTTTTTGTATCTTTCTTTTAGTTTTTTTTTTTTTTTTTTGCTGATTAGGCGTTTAAATTGTATAACTCAACTTTTTTTTTAACCCAGTCATTACTTCCGTTGACTTCCGTTTGCCACGTCATTAAAATTCTGACGGCGTTAGTGGAGTTTAACGGAGACTAACGGCCGGTGACTATTGATGAAACGAATTGTAAAGTTAGTGGCTAATAAGAAAGAAAAGTAATTCGGGTGGCAAACGTGAAATATTTATCTAATTCGAGTGACCAAACATGTAATTTAGCCATTGTAAATCCAACAAGAATCAATCACAAGAAAGAGACAAAATACGAGTATTACCTGCTTTCCCAAGAATCGATAAAGAAAAGCAAAGTAAAACACCCATCCTTGACGTCATATGATATGAGATGGTCCCCAAAGATTAGTATGCACCCAATTGAACTAATTTGAATAAATTGATTGGGTTGGTAGATTAGTACAATATTGTCACTAACATCTTGTTCGATTTCGATTTGAGGAGGTGGATGTTAGTTTAGTGGACCCTCCTATGGAGATCTCAGGATTTGAAATTTGCCTTTGTATATGAATCGGATATGGTCCTCCCACTTATTGTTGGGAGGTCGTTCTCCCAGCGAAGAATATGATATTTGTGTAATGATAATATAGTATACGATTTACAGGAATACATATTCGTCCAACAAGAAAAATATATTCTTATAATAGATAGTAGTATGAAATCAAGCCGTCAAGAATATCATATTCTCATAACATAAATATAACCAAGCCTTCAAAAATACTATATTCTCATAACATAAATATCATATTCTTGAAAGTTTGATTTCATATTACTATCTACTATAAGAATACATTTTTTTTGTTGGACGAATATGTATTCCTGTAGATCGTATACTATATTATCATTACACAAATATCATATTCTCCGCTGGGAGGATGTCCTCCCAACAGTAGGTGGGAGGACCTTATCTTTTTCTGCTTTGTATAACATATCAAAGGGAATCTATGTCTGTAATATGTCTGGCAGATCAAGATAGATATGCATATGGTAAATTCTTGTATCGAAAAGCCTGTTGATACAAGGTGTTTGGAGGATGAAAATAATCACTGAGGGGAGACATGAAGTTCGTGGTAATATGGTAAGTTGTACAATTATGTGAGATAATAGAATTATGTGACCTTGTGCACGTGAACTACTCCCAACGATTATCGTTAGGGAAACCACATAAAACTCATCTCTTTCTGTATTTCTTGTGATTGATATTTTTTCCATTTACATGGTATAAGACCAAGGTTGTCAACCCGCGGGTTGACCCGGATCCGGTCGAGCTAGTGGGTTAAGGGTTAACGGGTCACCCGTTTAGCCCGGAAATATGGAAAGAGTCATTATATTGTACTTATCCTGATAAATTATATAAAATCTTATCTAATTTATGAGTAATAACATATAACATTACACCAAAGTAACATGTCGTACTTAGATCCAACATATAGTGAAAATTCTCTCATACTTATATAACATCAATATTCAAATGTTCAACTAAGGATTCCAAAGATTGAGTTAGGCGAAAAGAAAAATCGAAAAATAGGTGCATTTCGCAAACAAAAGAAAAAAATGACATAATTTGACCTCCTAATCGATACCTTGTAGCGGTCGATTCGACAGATGCGTACGATACGTGGCAAGCAAAAAGTGTTTTTTAACCTCAGAGCAAAGAGGCGAGCTCTGGGAAACACGAGCAAAGAGAGGAAGAAACACGATCGTGTTTCACCTCCCTTTTTCCTGTGATTTTACTGCCGAACGTGTCTTGCTGCCCTTGAAACACCGCATTTTCAAACAATCAACATGTTTGGGCTCCCGCTCAAAAATCCATACAACCACAGGCAATAATATGACACCCGAAGCTATGAGACAGACTCTAGAAAGACTCAAAGCAGAAGCAAAGACTTGAAAGACCCAAAAATCAAAAGAGGCAAAGGATAGAAATGAAAACCGATGTGAGGTTGCCTCCCCACAAGCGATTCTTTACCGTATTTTAGCTGGACGTAAATGGTGGATGCTCAGGGTGGTGTAAGAATAGGTGCCTCCAAGAGCGAATCCACATCGCTCTTGAGGAACAGCTTCAAATGGTGGCCATGCACGCGGAGGCCACGACCATCAACACAGGCTAACTCGACCTGACCATCCGGTAGGATGCAAGCGAGTGAATACTCGGATGGCCAGGATGGTCGCGACTCAAGGGTTAGGACCAACTCATAGTGGTCTTCAGCTTTCTTTTGGGCAGGCTTGGTTTTCTGCAACTTTGGATGCCACTCCTCCATTCACTCCGCTCATTGTGACCAAGGGAGATGGAGTGGTGGAGGGGGAGGAGCCTCAGAGTCCTGCAAAATGGGAGACACAGAAGGATACACGACAGAATCGTGCACCTGGTGCGATAAAGCATGCATAGGAGAGAGAGCAGTAATATTATTAGCAATAGAGAATGTTATCTTCTCCTCGCATCTCTCAAAACCAAGGTCCCATTGTGCACAACAATGAGCGCCTTCACAGTGGCCAGGAAGGGCCTACCTAATATGAGGGGCACTTCTATGTCCTAATTGATGTCCAAGACAATAAAGTCCACAGGATAAGAGAATCTGTCATCCTTAACCAAGAGGTCTTCCATGATGCCCTTAGGATAAACAATGGACCGGTCAACTATCTGGATACTCATTATAGTTGCAGTTGGTTCACCTAAGTCTAGTTTCTTAAAAAATTTGATATGTCAGAACATTAATAGTAACACTTAGGTCCGCTAAGGAATTCTCGATATGCAGGGTACCGATAGAGCACGTAATAGTAAAACTACCTTGGTCCTTCTGCTTCTGCGGGAGCTTGTTCTGTAGAATAGCCGAACACTCCTCGTTGAGCACCACAGTGGTCAGGTCCCCAAGGATCCTCTTGTTGGTGAGGAGATCCTTCATGAACTTTGCGCACTTGGGCATCTTCGACAGTGCCTCAATAAAAGGCATACTGATGTTCACCTGCTTCAGCATTGCCATGAAATTAGCATACTCAGTCTCTAGTCGGTCTTTGTGCAGCCGAGTAGGGAAGGGGAGTTGAGGAACACACTCCTTCACCATTGGTTGTGGCCTAGGAGCAGGCACCTCTCTCTCCTTCTCCCTTTCTTCCTCATCGTCTGGAACTGCTGAAGCTGGTCTTTCTTCACCTGTTTGGCTTGGACGGGAATCTCTAGTCACCTTCCCGCTCCTGGTGGTAATGACATTCAAGTGGGCGCCTGGGTCATTGGGATTAAGTATGGTATGACTGCGTAAGGTACTCGGAGCCCTTTGCACCACGGCTTTGTGTATGTACACTTCCAAGCTAGAGCTAGATGTCTTGCAGAACAACCTTTGTGTTCTCCATGAACCACTCCACATTGCCAAATTTTTTAGCGTTGGTGCTAGCAAGGGCTCCCACGATGTCACAGCTTGACCGTCGGATCACGATGTACGAGGGTTGTTGGAGCTGCTCCTGGCTGCTGAAACTGTCGCTACTGCTATTGAGGAAGAGATTGCACCTGTCTGGGCAGATAAAGAAGTTGTTGCAGCTGTTGGAACTGGCTTTGGAGGGCCAAGTATGGTGGTCTCTGGATTCCTAGGGGTCCTTGCGAACCAGGTGGCTTAGGATTACTGCTATCACTCCAAGAGAAGTTAGGATGTTAGCGCCAACCCTCGTTATAAGTGTTGTTGTAGGGGTCGAAGAGCCTAGCATTGCCGATAAGGTACAGTTGCTCTTGAGATGTAGTAGAGTCCCTCATTGCTTGGTAGTCTTCAAGCGTGTCGTGGTTGCTCTCGCACCACTGGCAACACATCGCCTGATGCTGCCCTGTACCAGTAACCATCCCATTTCGATCCATTGCCATGACCAGTCTAGTAACTGCCTCCACCAACTGAGATGACTGGGTGTCCACAGAATCCACAACATGTTCCCGCCACAGACCGAGTCAATATGTTGTTTGTCTTCGGGAAAGAGAGCCTGATAGAAAGTGCCCACCTTGAAGTCATCATTGAACCCATGGTGGGAATACTTCCGGAAGAGACCTTGGCATCTCTCCCAAGCATCCTGGATGGTCTCATCCTCCTCTTGAGAAAAATGAGTGATCTCCTTCTGCAGATCTGCAGTTTTAGATGGGGATTGGTAGTGGGTCAAGAACTTGTTGCCCATGGCGGTCCATATTCCCATGAAACGCCACAAAACCCTTCAGTATTGTGATGACAGAGGTCTTCACCTCAAAGTTTTGGTAGCAACTTGAGGATGTTGGATGCTTGACCTCATATCCTCAGCCCTGCGGTCCAATAGTACCCCATAGTATGCTCATCGGGGATAATTGCTTCAGCATCATTGGGGCCACCCATTTCTCCTTCTTGCGCAATGTTCAGTTGAGAAAAGGCTACCTTCGTAGCTATTTGCACCTTTAGTGCTCTCTTAAACTGACTGCAAATTCGTTCAAGCTCGTGGTCTAGCGGCTGAAGATATCCCGACTGGCTACCGCTCATGCGCTACCGGCACACGGACTGCAGACACAACTCATGAATACACATAGGTGGAGGAAAACAAAATCAGAAAAGTAAATACTAAAGTAACAGATCTTCTCATTTCTCCAATAACCTAGAAGTTCCCGACAACGGCGTCAAAAATATGACTCGCTAAAACACAACACCAAACTGCGATCAAGTGCAATCGTAGTATGTAAATGTAGTATAGTGGGACAAGTAGTAAATGTCAACCTAGGGCCTAGATATACTGCCTACTCCGTGAAATTCTATTATCTAGCGGAAAAAGTTGAGTGAGAATGTGTTTAAACTAAAACAA